GAGAGAGAGAGAGAGAGAGAGAGAGAGAGAGAGAGAGAGAGAGAGAGAGAGAGAGAATGGCTCAGGAGCTGCCCATGCCAGGGAAGCACTGAACAGAGAGAGGATTCAGTGCTGTTCCTGTTAGCATTGACAGTAGCAGCTTCCAGAAACTTTCTTAAGTCCTTCTTGATGTGGAAGTTTGAATTCCCACCAGCAATGGAGGAGTGTTTCCCTTACTCTACATCCTTTCCAGTATAAGATTTCATTAGTGTTTTTGATCTTAGCCATTCTGATAGGTATAAGGTGGTATCTCTGTGTTATTTTGATTTGTATTCCCATGATGGCGAAACATGTTGAGCAATTCTTTAAGTGCCTTTGGGCCATTTAAAGTTCATCTGTTGAGAATTCTCTATCTTGATCTATTTCATTCTTTAATTATATTATTTGCTGTTTTGGTGTCTATTTTCTTGAGTTCTTTATATATTTTTGGAAATCAGCCCTCTATCAGATGTGGGGTTGGTGAAGAACTTTTACCATTTTGTAGGCTGCAATTTTGTCTTGTTTCCTGTATCGTTTACCTTATAGAAGCTTTTCAGTTTCAGGAGGTCTCATTTTTTTAATTGTTCATCTCAGTGTCTGTGCTATTGGAGTTATATTTGCCATGTGCCTGTGCTAATGCTTTCAAGGGTACTTCCCACTTTGTCTTCTAAGAGGTTCAGTATGACTGGATTTATGCTGAGATCTTTGATCCATTTGGACTTAAGTTTTGTGCATGGTGATAGATATGCATCTATCTGCATGTTTCTACAGATCAGCATCCAGTTATGCTGGTACCATTTGTTAAAGATGCATTCTTTTTCCACTTTATAGTTTTACTTTCAGGTTTCATAGATGTGTGGATTGCTATCTGGCTCTTCTATTGATTCCATTGGTCTACCTGTCTATTTTTGTGCCAAAACCAGCTGTTTGGAAACCCACAGAAACAGTTGACCTGAAGAAGTGGAAGTTTGCTGACACTGGACTGACAGTTGCAGAACCTGTATAGGACCAATCTAGGTCCCATGAACATAGATTTCAGTTGGGAGACTCGGGCAATCTATGGAGTAGCTAGCAGTAGAATCAGTATTTATCCCTAGTGTATGAACTGGCATTTTGGAGTTCTTTCCCTATGAATCAATAACTTTCTCAGTTTAGATACATGATTGAGGGTTTTAGTCCTGCCACAAATGATGTGCCAGATTTTGCTGATTCCCCATTTGAAGTCTCCTCCTCTCTGAGGAGTAGATTGGGCTGGGATGGGGACATGGTGGGGGGAATGAAAAGGGAGGAGGGAGAAGAATCTGGGATTGGTATGAATAATAAGATTATTTTTTAATAAGTCCTCTTGGAAAGAACACCTGTGTCCCAGCCAGCATCCAGTGCCATTCTCTGCATGACTCTAATGATACAGATTGGAGGAAGAGATGTATAGACATCAGCACAAGAATACACTCAACAACATAAAGAGCAATATGAAACCACCAGGAATTAGTGGTTCTACAACAGCAAAACCTGAACATCCCAACACAGATGAAGTAGAAGAAAATGACTCAAAAGAACTTTATAAAGGTGTATGAAGCCCTTAAAGAGAAAATGAAAAACTCCCTTAAGGAAATGGAGGAAAAGACAAACAAAAATTGGAAGAAATTATTAATATAAACTATCCAGGAAATGTGGAACACCATGAGAAGACCAAACCTAAGAATAATAGGAATAGAGGAAGGAAAAGAAGACCAGATCTAAGACACAGAAAATGTTCAATATTGTTAGTGACCAATCACATTTGTTCTTTCAGGAATTGCTGGCCAAGAGCTGTCCACTATATGTTTGTTAATGACTTATACTGATTATCAACTTGACTTGATACAGAATCATATAGGAGATAATCTTCTGGGTGTATTTGTGAAGAATTCTGCAGCTTAGGTTATTGCTTGGGCAAGACCATGAATGATCATTTCATTAATTACTTGCAGTGGGGAAACCACCTCTAATGGCATTTGATAATATTTCCTTGGATACTAGACTGAAAAAGCAGAAAGATGTACAGGAACTTTTATCACTCTATTCTTTCCGCCTGCAGACATGAAGTGATCAGGTTCTTTAAGCTACTGCTACCTTGACATTCCCAACAGAATGGATGGAATTTTCATCAGTAGCCAAAGTAAACCTTTTCATGCTTAAAATTGTTTACTAGGGTATTTTATCACATCATCAATGAAAGCAACTAAAATATTATGGTTTGAGAAAGGATTGGTGACAAAGTTACAGTAATCAGAGACAGAAAAGAATGGAGAAAGTGAACTATTAATACATATTGGTATCTCAGAGTTGTTTTGATTTGCATTTCCATGATGACTAAGGATGTTGAGTACTTTCTTAAGAGTCTATCAGCCATTTTAGACTCCTCTATTGAGAATTCTTTATTTACTTCTGTACCACACTTTTTATTTTGAAACTTTGGTGTTTTGGAGGATGTAGAGAAAGGGGAACACTCCTCCACTGCTAGTGGGAGTGCTAACTTGTACAGCCACTTTGGAAATCGGTATAGAATTTCCTCAGGAAATGGGAAGCAGTCTACCACAAGATCCAGCAATTCCCCTCTTAGGCATATACCCAAAAGATGTGAATTTCTACAACAAGGACATCTGTTCCACTATATTCATAGTAGGGGAGGGGCATGGGAATTGGGTCAGGCATTGGGGGTTTTGGTGGGCTGCAAGGGAGAGGGAACTGTGATTGACATGTTAAGAAAGCTTGTTTCTAATTTAAATAAAAATGGAGAAAATAGGATGTGTTGGAGGAAGTAGAGGGGCCACTCTATTTCACTTAGTTTCCCAACACATTCTGATAGCTAATGGATGGCAGCTGGTGGATACTCTAGACTATGTTCTTGATCCTGTGGCTAAGGTTGAGGGGCAGATTCACACTGTACACACACTGTAGTAGTCCATAGGGGCAAGTTGGCCGAGTATATAAGAAATTTTCATGGCTGTGCAACTAGAATTTAAACTGTTGGTTATTTAATACTGACCTTGATGAGACTGTTTACATTATGGAATGTCACAGGCACTAAAAATTAATATTTTCTCCTGTTTTCAGAGAGAAATTTTAAGTATTTGTCATCTTAAGAGTAGTCATGCTCATTTTAAAGTCATCATTTCCTGTTGGCAAGTGGAGAAAGAAAAAGCAAAATGACTCAAACTGAAATTACACAGCACTTATATCAGGAACAGCAGGGACAAGAGAAAAGGTGACAAAGACCCGAGGTTGACTCCAGAAAGCATATTTTTTATTGTTATGATTTAATTTAGGCTATCTGAGGGAAACTTGGTCAAATATGTAAAAAAACAAATTTTATTCTTAAAATTAAGATTTAGCAAATTAGATTATATCAGTAAGGTAATGAGTTTGGTTACAGTGGAATTCAGGAGACCGAGTGGCTCCAGAATGCATGAACTAAAGTATACAGTGAGGCTCAGCCCAGGACCCTAGATTCCAGACACCCAATGGGACTCTTCCCATTGCTAGGAGGTAATCAGAAAAATTTCCAGACCTGAGATGAAGACCATGTAATAAGAATAAGTGGTTGACAGTCTAGGCTAGCTGAAATAACTTACAGGCATGCTTGATGACATGAGACTCAGGTGGGTAAAGGCATTTCCCCTAAGGTCATACCCATCTGACATGCTAGAGCATATGAAGGGACTTGTCTTATAGAATGAGATAACTGCAGAATCTCCACAACTACAGAAAACAGTAGCATATCGAAGAGGAATTTCAGTGAGTGTCCCATAAAAATGGTGTGCAAGAGGCCTTGAACCAGACTAATGACTCAAACCAATGAACATTTACAGGTTGGTACAACTGGAAAAAAAATGTTATGTTGCATGAAGTACCACAACTTTCAATGTCACTAGGATCAAGACATCATTTTGGAATGACAGGGAAGATGAAGGAGTTAGGTGGTTTCATTTTTCAGGTTTTTTTAAATTAATTTTTTACAGGTTTTTCTTTCATGGGAGATGCTGAGGGGCTGGGGTGAAGAGAGCGAAGGAAGGACTGGGAGGTGTTTCAGACTGGGGTACACCATGTGAAATTCCTAAATATTCAATCAAGAATCTTGTCAAAAAAAGAAGAGGTTGAAATTAAGCAGGATGCTTATGAGAAAAAAAAAAGACCTCAAAGAAACAACTAGTTTCTTCCTTGTCTAGAAGCCCTTATGGTCTTGTACCTCTTTGAAGTCTTGTTCTTTCAAAAGGCCAGAGATAACAAAAGTGTTTGAGGCTTTGATCCTGATCTAATTCTGAAATGATTTTAGAATTGCCTTTTCAAAAATATGTTACAGTGGCTATAAAGGATCATCGAAGAAAGTTCATGGTTAAGAGAACAGAATCTCTAGCCTGGGTAGAGACCTAATTTCAATCACCTGGTCAACAGATCCTCTTAAACCATACTAAAGGGAGAGGTGGAATAATTTTTCCAAGAGGAGTATGATGGTGCAGCACACATTCAATCCCAGGACTCAAGAGGTAGAGGCCACCTTGTCTACATATAGGACTTCCAAGGCTATACAGGAAGACTCTGTCAAAAAAATTCCCATTAACTGATAGACTAGCCTTTTCCATCCCAGAATTCGCCCTACCCAGTGAAGTTCCTGCATGCTATGTTGAGGTTCAATTGTGTCTGACTACTTCACAGTGGCCAGATCAGACAGGACTTTTTCTTTATTTGTGTCTGTTTCTTTTGGATTTGGATTCTGAATATAACTTTTCTGATACTTCAGGCTTTCACACTTTTTCTCAAAATGCCTCCTTCCCTTCATGGCAGTTTGCCTGCCATGTGTCTGACCACTATGCCTTCTTCAACAGCATGAGTGTATTTTTCTCTTTATTCTTCCATTATCCTCCTTTCTGAAGGAGTTGCATACGTGCCTGACTTTGGAAATTTTACTCAAAACTAGGATAGTTTATCTTTCACTTGAATCCATTTTTTAAATTCTTTTATTAATGAAATTAAGGTCCCCAAGAATAGAATCCAACAACCACAACATCATATCTCTGACATATCAGTGCTTACATAGAGGAATAATAGGGAATTCTGAATCTGATTTGTCCTTGTAAGGGAGACATTTGGAGTAGACTTCCACAGCTTCTCACCAGCTTCTTCTAGGCTGAGCCCCTCCATGAAAGGTGACGTCAGATATTCAGGGTCCAGTGTGGCAGATGAAGAGAAGTGCTGTGGAGAATCACCTCTCATTCAATACTCCTTTCACAACTTACACATTGTACTCTAGTGCTACAGTCACACAGGTACTCTTCTCCTGTCCTGAGTAGATAAGATGCACATATTACAAAGTATCATCTAAACCTAATAGCTAGTCATACAGTCTTTCTGAGTGTTTGCTTCACGTTCACAGACTAAAGCAGAAACTGTTGATGAACTTGTTGCCTGTATATATTGTACATACTTATAAATAATTTTTCTTATGTTAATTGTAGCCTTATTATATTAGACAAAAAGTAGAGTTGTAGTGATATTTTATTTATATAGTGCTTTGGAAAAAATTATCTCTATGTTGTAAGATATTTGAATACTTGTTTCCCAGTTGGTGGTGTTCTTTGAAGAGTTTTAGGTAGAGCAGACTTTTCAGAGAAAGTGCATCACAATAAGTGAGCTTTGATATTAAAAAGCCTTGTCACCCTTCCAGTTATTTTCTTTGTTTCATGATCTCCATTGAGCTCTTACCTCCCTGACGTGTCTTTCATGCCATTTATGTTTGATGGACACATATGACTTTGGAACAGTAAGGTGATATAAACCCTTTTTTTCTTCATCATAGTGTGTTGGCACACCAAAAGAAGAGTAACAAATACCCCTTCCATTCTTCCTAACTTACTGTCAGGCCTTCCGTTTCTTGTGCATGTACATGGCAGAGGCACCAATTACCAGTAGCAGTTTGGGTCCAAGCAGCACAGCTACAAGGAATTCTTCAGCAGAATCTGACATCTTCAGCCCTGGAAATCAAGTGGTAGGTGGAACCATTAGAGAGGGCACATGAGTATATTATAAGGAAACTTAACCTGGTCCCGACATTCTTATTGAGCTTCCTGTCCTTTGAACCCATTATTAAGTGAATAGCACTAAGAATCCCAAGACAGGAGTCAACTTCCTTTATATCATTTGGAGACCCAAATTCCTGTAAGAAAATCAATGAAATAGAAACTGAAAAAATAGATATGGTCAATGAAAGAAATTTGTTTGGCAAAAGGAAAATATTGGAAGTCTTCCAGAATGATGAGCACAATTTTCTGGACTGGTAACATGAACCAAACTAAAATCAAGGCCAGTTAAATAATTTAAACAGACATACAACCTGTAAAGAAATAGAAGCAGTCATTAAAAGCCTCCCATCAAAAACCCAGGGTCAGATGGTTTCAGTACAGGATTATAACAGAATGTCAAAGAAGAGATAATACCAATACCCCTTAAATTGCCTCACGCAATAGAAACAGAAGTAACAATGGAATACTCTCTTTATGTGGCTACAGTTAACATGATACCCAAACCACACAAAGATACATAGAAAGAGAATTCTAGACCAATCTCCCTCATGAACATTGAAGAAAATATATGCAATAAAATACCAAATCCAAGAACATGTAAAAATCATCTACCATTATCAAGTAGGCTTCATCCCAGAGATGCAGGGGTGGCTCAACATACAAAATTCTGTCTATATAAACAAACTGAAAGAAACAAAAAACATCATCTTTTTAGATGTCTAAAATGCCTTCAACAAAATCCAACACCACTTTATGATAAAGGTCTTGGAGAGATCAGGGTTATAAGCAACATTCTTAAACAAAATAAAAGCAATATATGTCATGCCAACATCAAATTAAACACAGAGAAATTCAAAGCAATTCCACTAAATTCAGGAACAAGACAAGGTTGTCTACTCTCTCTATATTGATTCAATAGAGTACTCAAAGTTCTTTCTAGAGCAATAAGACAACAGAAGGTGAACAAGTGGGTACAAATTGGAAAGGAAGAAGTCAAACCTTGGTTTTTTGCAGATGATATTCTATATATAAGTGATGGACAAAATTCTACCATTGAAATCCTACACCTTATAAACACCTTCCAGTAATGTGGTGTGTAAAAGGAATTCTTAATTGGCCTAACTAACAAAAATCCCAAGTCAGATATAGAGGAAAATGCTGAGAGATCAGAAAGAAGGAGAAAGCTGTAGCCACACTTCACCTCTTTAGCATCTCAGCAGACAAGAGACCAAGTCTCTGTTTCTCCCAGTTTTCTCATTTCCTGTCTGTTTGTATAGACCTCCAGCCCTCTATGGTGAGTTAGTGGCAAGCTCCATTCTCTGACACTCAGACAGGTTTTATTTATATGAGCAAGATATCACCGCAGTAGTGGGATAGGAGATTAACTGAAAAAAAGTCAGTAGCCCTCCACTATACAAATGATAAACAGCCTAAAAAAGAAATCAGAGAAACTTCACCATTTACAATAGTCGCAAAAGTTAAAAAATATTTTTGGGTAACTCTAATCAAACAAGTGAAAGACCTATATGACAACAACTTCCAGTCTTTGAAGAAAGAAATTGAAGAAGATATCATAAAAATGAAAAGATCTCCCATGCACTTATATAAGTAGGATTAACACAATAAAAATCACAGTCTTAGCAAAAGCAATCTAAAAATTCAGTGCAATCCCCATCAAAATCCCAACACAATTATTCACAGACCTTGAAAGTACAATACTCAATTTCATATGGAAAAACAAAAAAAAAAACTCAGGATAGACAAAACAATCCTGTACAATAAAGAAACTTCCAGAGGCATCACTATTCCTGACTTCAAGCTCTACCATAGCACCATACTAATAAAAAACAAATGGTACTGGCATAATAACAGAAATGTGGATCAATGTAATTGAATTGAAGTTACTGAGATAAACCCACACACCTATGCATACATGATTTCTGACAAAGTCAAAATTGTATGATGAAAAAAATGCATCTTGAACAAACGGTGCTTGCATAACTGAGTGTTGACTTCTAGAATAATGCAAATAGATGCATATCCATTACCCCTCACAAAACTCAAGTTCAAGTGGATAATAGACCTCAATATAAACCCAGTTACACTGAAGCTAATAGAAAAGTGGGAAGTAGTTTTGAATGCATTGCCACAAGAGACCACTTCCTAAGCATAATACCAGTAGAACAGACACTGAGAGTAACGATTAATAAATAGAACCTACTGAAACTGAAAAGCTTCTGTATGGCAAAGGACATGGTCAATATGAGAAAACAGCAGCCTATGGAATGGGAAAAGATCTTCACCAACCCCACATTTGACAGAGGGATAATCTACAAATTATATTAAGAACTCAAGAAACTAGACATCAAAATAATAATCCAATTAAAATTGGGGTATAGAGCTAAACAGAGCATTCTCAAAAGAATAATCTTAAATGGTCCAAAGGCGCATAAGGAATTTCTCAACATCCTTAGTGCTCAGGGAAATGCAAATCAAAATGACTCTAAGATAGCATCTTGTATCTGACAGAATGGCTAAGATGAAAAACACTGATGACAGCCCATGATTCAGAGAATGTGGAGACGGGGAACACTCCTCCATTGCTGGGAGGAGTGCAAACTTGTGCAGTGGCATTGGAAAACAGTATGGAAGTTCCTCAGAAAACTGGGAATCAGTCTATCACTCGGGCATATACCTAAAGGATGATCAATCATACGCTCAAGAACCTTGCTCAACTATGTTCATAGTAGCATTATTTGGAATAGCCAGATCCTGGAATCAACCTACATGCCCCTCAACCAAACAACTGATAAAGAAAATGTGGTACATTTACACAATGCAGTATTATTCAGTGGGTAAAAAGCAATGACATCATGAAATTTGCAGGCTAATGGATGGAACTAGAAAAACATCATCCTCAGTGAGGTAACTGAGACCCAGAAAGACAAACACAGTATGCACTCATCCTAAGTGGGTAGTTGATATAAAGCAAAGTAGGTTTCAATCCATATTCTTAGAGAAACTAGGGACAAGGATGTCCCCAAGCAGAATATATGCATCTCCCTGGACAGGGAAAATAAATAAGATCTACTGAAACTGGGTGTGAAGGGGGTGAGGGGAGGGTGCGGGACATGGGTACATGAGAGATTGGGATGTTTGAGTTGGAGAAGGGTTTGAGAGGGACAACAACAGAAGGGTTATCTGGATACAGGGAGGCATTTTGGAATAGGGAGAAACCTGGTGCCTCCCAGCAATCCACAAGGATGACCCCAGCTAAGACTCCTAGCACTAACAGAGAAGATACCTGAACTGACCTTCTTCTCTAATCAGATTGGTGACTACCCTAATGTCATCATAGAACCTTCATCCAGCAACCAGTGAAATCAGATGCAGACATCCATAACCAAGCATTGAGCCCAGTCTTGGGAGTCAAGTTGAAAAAAGGGAGGAAGGATTGTATAAACAAGTGGAGTCAAGATCATGAATGGGAAATCCAAAGAGACAGATGATCTGAGCTCAGTGGAGTTCAAGTTCTCCAGACTTGTAGTCAGACAAAACTAGGCCCCCTGCATGTGGGTGAGAGTTGTGTAGCTTGGTCTATTTGTGGGGGCCTAAGCAGGGTGACCAGGGTCTGTCCCTGACACATGAGCTGGCTCTTTGTTACCTATTTCCCATGGTAGTATGCCTGACTCACCCTTGATGCAGGGGTGATAGCTTGGTCTTTCCTCAACTTGATATGCCATGCTTTTTGATTCCCATGGAAGGCCGTACCCTTTTTGAGGAATGGATGGAGGGTGGTAGAAAGGACTTGAAGGGAACAAGCAGGAGGAGAGCAGGAAGGGGAAACTGTGGTTGGTATATAAAATACATTTTAAAACAATTAATAAAAGGACTGATAAAAGAGTTATGGCAACTTTTCCACATCAATGTCTAGAGAGGAACATAACTATATAATTACACACACACACACATACTTAGACTTAAAAAAGACAATATGATTGTCTAAGAAATTCTATAACAGAAGTGTTAAAACTAACAAAAATTTCTAAAATAATTTGTTATTGGACAAACTGTAGAACATGGTACTTTTTGAAGAACCTAATTTTGTGGCACACAAAAACATTATAAAGTAATTTTGAAAGTATAGTCAATTTGAAATATTTTGGGAATTACAGTTAATTTCACAGAATATGATGATGGTATTATATTAGAATGAAAATATCCTAATTTACCTGAACACTCATTGTAGGTACATACGAGAGAGACATGAGAGGGTATAATTTTGCAGCATCTACATAGCTCATATTTTAAGAGATCTGGTACTTTCTAGATTTTACTGTTTTAATGTTGATGTAATGGATAATTGGGTGACCCATTGTTTATCCAACAGATGAAGCTTAGAGCAAAAGCTGTACCACAAGGAACCTGAGTTTTTTAAAATTCATGGGGATTGGGGGCTACTGCAGGTGTTTCTTGAAAGGAAAATAAAGCAGATTCATATAAAAGGGTCTCAATATCACTCTAAGTCCTAGGATAGGAAAAGTCAAGTGAAAATACTTTACTAGCAAAATTTGCTTTGGATACTGTTGATATTCTTGCTCTCAGGGACCTTAAATTTCCCATTAGTATATTAATTAGATAAGATCACATGGTCTAAGAGCAAGAAGTCAACATCCCTTTTGCTTCCCCATCCCTATATTACCTGTGCATAAAACTGATGACTCATTGGGTGACTGACGAAGGGAAGAGATCACAGCCAAATAGAAAACCGCATGCAGTAAGTGTGGAGTCAGGGTGTGGATACATAGCTATTTGTCCATTATAACAAAACTGGAGGAAATGAGGCCCCTGTTATGACCACTCACAGTCATTTGGGTTCCGAATCTACACTAAAACTACAGGTCCCCAGGAGGCCTGTCAGAATTACTCTCAGGAGGTAGCATAGGACACGGAATGAGAACCCAGATGTTCAAGGAAAGTGTAAAATGGAATGGACACAGGGAAGATACTGAAAATGAAGAAGATGGACATGAGGATACAGCAAATGTCAGGTAAAAATGGCAAGAAACATTTTTTTGGGGATAGGATGATCCTGTCTCCCATGTTTAATACCTGTGAATGCCAACACACCCGGGAGAGGCCAATTGGCAAGGAAAGCTGACTTTAACCTTCCACTTAATTTGTAGATATTTGAATTATCATACATAAGCAAAATGTTAACTTTAACATTCAGAAAAAGAGGAAAATTTACAAACAGCCAAGGAGCTGGGATGTAGACATACAAAACATGGTGCCAATACCTTGTCCCTGCTGCTGTTTGTTGATCATAACAATATGTGATTTTAGGACTGGCGGCTGTCCATCATGCTCAACTTGACAGGTGAGCATTATGTCTTCCTCACAGGCTGATACATTCACCAAGTGCCAGCTGGCTGAACTGTAGGTTCCGTCTTTGTTTACTGTGAATGTAGAAGGGCCTTCTACCCGAAATATATTTCCATTCTCTAACCAGGCCAACCGAAGCTTCGAAGGGTAGAATTCCTTCACCTGGCAGGTGACACCTATCAGATTCCATACCATTGATCGCTGCTGGCTGATTTCCACAGTGGGTGGAACTGAAACAGTGGAATGAGAAGCTGAGACTTTGGAACCTAAGTACAGAAAGACCCCAGAGGAGAGACTGAAGTATGGAGGAACCATCCCCCTTACAACATCATCATGGGGACAGGATGATAGTTTGCACCAGAGCAGAGACCCTAAACATAGCTCTTAACACATAGGTATGCAGGTTGAGTGTCATAATAAGTGAAATCATTAAGCACAATATCCAGGTGCAGTGAGAAAGCAGTAACAGCAGCAAAATGCATGAAAATACAAATAAATATGGTTGTGGCCCATTATTGGTACAGCTATAATTTCTTACGTTAAAATAAATACAATTTTCCTTATGTGTAAATCACAGTCTATGATCCTGCCCTTGTGGTATGCATGAATGCTTACTGGGAACTATGGATCAAACCATTCTGAAGAGATATGAGCTTGCCCTGCAAATAAGAAAGATTTACCTCGGATAATGTCAGACAAGTTGGCAGTCCCACGGAGAGGACCTCCTTGCAAGGTGACATGGGACACCTCACAGATGATCTTAGAGTGGACATCCACAGCACCCAGCACCACTTGGACTGTGCTGGAGATACTGTAGGAGATGCTTTCCTCCTTAGGGTCCACAGTAGTTTGGAAGTGAGAGAGCTCAGTCTTGTCTTTGAACCACTTCAGTGTGATGTCCCGAGGGGAGAAACCATTGGACTTGCATGTGAAGTTCACTGTCTGCTCAGGTGTGGCTCTGAATAAAGGGCTCAAGATCACAGGAGGGGATGGTTTAGCTACAAAGGAGCACGTAGACAAGGTTTTGAGTGCAATGGCCAGCACTGATAACATAACACTGTGTTACTATTATCCCCATTGTCATTGTTTATTGTGATACTTGGGATCAATAACAGAGTTACAGCCATTTTAAGGACCTGCTCTACTCCTAGATGATAGCCTAGTTCTTCGGGGGAATCCCTTTTCCTTTTGTCTCCACAGTTTTATAAAGATCCCTGGAAACAAATGAGTAACAACAAAGCCTGGCAGAATTCTTGGCCTGGGAAAAGAAAGGCAATTATCAATGCATTTTATATATTTTATTATCTGTTCCTGCTGGCTTCCTTTGGAAACCTTGCAAATCTAGGGGAAATGTTTATAGATTTACATCTGTGACATCATAGACGGGTCATAAAGTGGGAACCCTTCCTGCTTATCCCAGTTGTTTGCTTTCTTTCCTATTACCTATATACTAGTAGGTCTCATCTATGCCAAGCTTCATTTTAAAATTGACAGCTCATTAGTCTGCATCTCTAAATGGGTTTCAGATGGACCTAGATTGAGGTTGAAAATAATGATTACCTCTACAGACAAAGCTAAAAGTGGTTAAATTTCTAATTGTTAATCATAAGAGACATAGTCAGAAGCCTTTTGACCAGACAGTACTACTCCCTGGCTGAAAGAATACATATGGGTGAACAAGTGGGAGGAAGTGTGTTGTGTAGATGTCTTGTGCTGAAGTTATTATGTGTACATGGCTGCATTTGGAAATATCACACACATTTGGGCATCATATCAGGAGTGCAAACAAGTATTATTTTAAGTCAAGCTGGCTAAACATGAGTACACCTGATAGCTCTAGGTTTGCAGGATCAGTCAGTAGTTATCAAGACTTTTTTGTCATCTTGACAGTGCCCAGTTTCCAGTGACCAAAGCTTTGGTAGGATTAATACCAAAGTGCACGTGGTTGAGAAGTTACACAGACCAAAGGATAAAGCTTATCTCACCCCTCATCAATTTGAATCCCGATCTTCATCTACTAAGCATCAATATAATTTTCCATAAAAACTGAATAAAATATCATCATAGAAAGCTGAAAACAAAGGTAGAATTTCATGCCTAAATATGTGCTTACAAATTCTATGTATTACTGAAGTTGTTTCTAGATGTGACATACTACATTTATTCTTTATCACTGTGACCTGCAGCAAAATCCATAAGGACATGCCTCCAGATTGTTTTTCCCCTACCCTGAACAACCTATGTAAGGAGCAGAACCTCTATGACAGTGCCTCTCCACCTACCTAATGATGGGAACCTTATATGCATTTTCTCATGTGGTGGTGACCTCCAATAATAATATTACTTTTGTGATTGCTTCGGGAGTTGTAATTTTGCTAGTTATAAATTGTAATATAAATATCTTGTATGATACCCCTGTGAAAGTGCTGTTCATCAAGCACAGGGGTCATGACCCACAGATTGAGAAACACCTTTATACCCCTGCATCCTCCTCTTTCTTGATCTTCTCAGTAAGTTAGCCAGAGCCTTTTACAGTACAATCAGGATCACAAGCATTTCTCAGGAATGGCTAATTATGGAGAGCAGACGACCATTAGAAGGTTGAAGGACAGAGCTCAATGGAGTACTGTGTTATTAAGGTAGAGTTCTGAGTGAAAAATAAGCATCTAGCCTCATAAATTGTTCTCCTGCAGTGTTGTATAATATAGGAGTTGTACCCTCAAACTGGAGTTGAACAGTATTCTGCTTTGGTTGGATCTTGAGGACCCTAGGGTCTCCTTGCTGAGAAATGACCCTGGCATATTATTTGGATTTTAGGATAATCTGTACAGCAGGCTGGGCCTTGCTATTTTGAAGCATATAGGGTTGTCATTCCTCAGCTCGGTGGCCTAACAGCTCTATTAAAGGAATAATCACAAATATCTCCTATTGTTTCATAAAATGTAACAAAGGGGATTTTAACTCTGTAAAGCTGTGCTACTTTGCCTGTCTAAAACACCTGATTGGTCTAATAAAGAGCTAAATAGCCAATAGCTAGGCAAAAAGAGAGAAGCAGGTGGAGCTAGCAGGCAAAAGGAATAAATAGGAGGAGGAGAAATCTAGGCTAAAGCAAGCGAAATGTAGATGTAGAGAAGGTGAGGAGCGAAAAAAGGAGAGGAGGAAGACACCAGGGACCAACCACACAGCCACCCACTCACTCAGCAAGCCAACAAAGTAAGAAGGAAAAATACATGGAACAAAAAAGATAAAAAGGCGAAAGGAAAACACAGTCAAAGACACATAAGATAATTTAAGTCAGAAAAGCTGGCTAGAAATAAACTAAGCCAAGACTGGGCATTTAAAAGTAACAATAAGTCTCTGAATATTTATTTGGGAGTTTGGTGGCAGGACTCCAAAGAATAAAGAAAACAACTACAGGCATGTGCTTTCTTGCCAGGACTGTGACTGTACAAGTTAATGTACTATAGCACTGTTGTAGAGGACATAAATTGAAGCAAATGGACTGTTAAAGATCTGGGATCTGAATTAGTGTATCTCCAGCTGCTGGACTATGATGCTTTGTTTATACAAGAGGACAATTCTCAGTTCTAGTATGGAATGAAGGTATGGTTGACATTGGGGCAGCTTTCCCGTTACTACTATTTGCTGCTAGAAGTTCTCTTGGGTTCTGCCACTGCCTTGTGGAGATTTATATTAATTATAACACTGTTGGCCAAAAGCTAGGGCTTCGTATTGACTAGCTCTGTCTTAATTATTAACTCATTTCTATTAATCTAAGTATTTCCACTTGGTCTTATCTTACCAGAGAAGGGTCCACACCTCTAACTGCTTTGGTGGCTACATGTCCTCTCTTTCTGGCAGTTTCCCTCTGTCTACCTTTCCAAGAATTATCCTCATCTCCTAGTCCCACCTATTTTCCTGTCTTATTGGCTAACAGTGTTTTATTCATCAACTAATAAGACAGACATAGATATGGAAGAAGATCCCCATCAACTATTAGCATCTGAGTGTGAGGAACATCTTGAAACCTTGGGAATCTGATGATGAATGGAAATGCTGGCTGAAGTACAGAAAATCTGACTCAGCATCTCTTAGACACAAGGCTTCTGAGTGGAGGTGAAATCACATGCTGGGACTGCAAGAATCTGGTGTGGAGTCATATGTGGGTTCAAGGCCAGACATCAGCACTTAGTGGCTAAGGCGGTATGCACAGGGCACTGGCAAACTGGGCTCATATCTCAAGTAGGGCTGGAATAAATAAGCTTTCATACTGTAAAACTGCCAGAATTCAGACCAGGAATTAAGACTTCAGGTCTCTGTCAGGAAGTTCAAAGCGAATGTCCTGATGCCTATGCTGGTGATTGGAGATAATCTACATGGAGACTAACTACAGGACTTATGTCTACATTTCCCAGAACCTTCAGTGCCTGTGTAAGTAGGATATAATATGTTTCCAGACAGACCCAAGATAAAGGTGTAACCAAGGGTGAGAGTATTCCACAGTGAATGTGGGCATATACAGAAGTATGCCAGTGTTCTGTGTATGAAGAGAAAATGAGAAAAACATGTTGTTCCATGTTCTTGTCACTTTCTGCCTTGATTTGCTTTTCCTCTTGGGAGGGAGGAGACATGTATCTTAGGTAACACGAACCTACTTGCCTGAATCTTGTCATCTCATTTGACATTTGGAGTGGAACCTGGCACACACTAGGCCCCAGGGTGTTTGGGCAGAAAGAAAAGACTTAAGGTGAGGTAATGCACTCTGGAGGCAATAGGTCAGGTTTGATCCTGTCATTGAACATCTTATCTACTATCTTTACGTAGCAACTAGAACGGGACAGATTGAGAATGCTAAGTATTGTGAAGCAGATGAGGGAATGGATGTACCCCTATTTCCAGAAGGGGGGCTCCAGAAAATAGCAAGTCCTGTCTACTCCTCTGCTTCCTGGTCCACAGTTGGAGTAAAGTCACCCAATGAACATGGGGGTCACTTACAGGCTCGCTTCTTCCTTGTTGCTCACAGAATCTTGGACACATTTTTATCTGTTGGGGATATGAGAATAAGGAAGACAGGGCAGTACTCACCGAGCACAGACAACACTGTGCCTCTCCCAGACTGAAGCTCCTTGTCAGCTTCTGCTCTGAGATGCTTCACACAGTAGTAGGTGCCAGCATCAGCAGGTGTGACATTACTGATGCGGATGGAAAAGTCCAGGTTGTTTCTCTTTGTAGCATCTGTAAGATTTGTGATTCTGGGGAACTTCTCTCCCATGAAACTATATATGAGATGCCTACTCTGCCCTGCACCCCTGAACCACTTAATGGGCCCCACAGGAAGCAGAGAGGTGACAGTGCAGTTCAGAGTGGCTGACTCTCCAGCAGCAACAGAAACTGATTTCTCAGGCTGAATCACCTTCAGCTCCCGTGTAGCTTCTCCTGCAGGAAACATCGGTTAGTGCTCATCATGATGAAAACCCACAGGCTGCTCTAGTTTGTGATCAAATATTGTTTATCACTCTCCATCTTGAGCCTCTAACACAATGATGTAATAGACGAGGAAACTGAATCACAGAGACACTGAGAATTTGACAGTATTTTGATTGAAGTACCAATTATGTTTGAAATTCTCATGCTTCATCCATTATCTGTTTGGTTTTCATTTTCTGTGCACATAGCATGAGCATTCCTTGTATAACAGTATTGGATGTGATTACATGACTCTTTTAGAACAGTGAGATGTGAACATATGTACTATGTACAGTTAGTGAGATGTACATTTGATCACAAGATTCTCTGGGGCAGGCCTGCAGCTCATGATGTGGTTTGCTTTATCAGGTAGAGTGATGATATCATAGATATCTCCCAATATACAATAGCATTACCTTAATTAGAGGAATAAAAACCTGGTTTATGTTACCAGTTTTTAAAATCTGTGTCAAAATCACGTTAATTATCTAATTAGTTTTATGTATATGGGTATTTTGCTTCCAAATATATCTATGTACCAAATGCATGCCTAATGGTTAAGGAAGCTAGAAGATGGTGTCAGAAACCCTGGAATTGAAGTTATATATAGTTTTAGATCACCATGTGGATGCTCAGGAGTGAATCCGGGTCCCTTGGAAGACTAGCAAGTGGTTTTACTCCCTGAACCATCTCTCTAGGCCCAGCATTATATTAATGTTAAAGATGATGTAGTAGACTGCTATAAAGTAAAGGGTTTGACACAACAGAGTGTATTATTTTATGCTTTGGAATCAGAAGTTCCAATTTGGTATGACACGGCCACTATCACAGGGTCACAGAACCCACCCTTCAGGAAGACCTGTTTGTTTCCTTTCATATGGGGAGATCACCTGGCTGTATTATCCGTAGTTACCTGTCTTCCCATCACAGTACCCTATTTGCCCAGCAACTCCAAGTCCTACCAGCTTCTGGCCTGGACATTGGTGATGTGGTAAAACTGCACTATGCCGCACTGTATCATATTAGTGGGCCAAGAAAACAAAACATTTATTTGAGATAAGAAAATAACAAAAGGAAAGTATCGAATAGCACTAAAGAAAGTGAAGAGTCTGAAAAGCAAAATAAAACATCAAATGAAGAGAAACTGTGAGAAGGAACCAAATGGTTTTTGGGGGGTCCAGAGGTATATAATTTATTAGTGCTATGGACAGGATCCACAGAGGATATAGCAGGCTACAAAAACTCTCTAAAATCATGGAAATGGATACCATAACATTACTCAGTCTGCACTGCAGGGGCACAATAAAGAGAAGAAATTCAAGAATTTGGAGTGTACTGGAAAGATCAGTGGGAAAAATACTGTTGTCTATTACCTTCCTGCTTTCTTAAACTACAAGACCTATAAATATAACAAACTTAACTAATTAAATGTGAGATAAACTCAGAGAGACCCACACTAGCACACATTAGAATTCAACTGACAAAAGTGGAGTAGTCAAAAAATGCTGAGAGTAGCCTGGAACATGACTCATCTCACCAGCTAAACAATGTGAACACAGCTCTTATCAGAAATGTCAACATCTAGGATGCATTGAGATTGTGTATTCTTGGTGCAACACAAAAATACATCCAGAATTTAAGTAAACCCCAGGAATCTACACAAGGCAACATTGTGGCAACAAAACAAGAGAGAAAACATGCTCTTCCTGGATACAAATTTGAGTTTATTACAGTGATACCTGTTTGGAGGTATTAAAACCTACCTTGCAGGAAATGCTAACAGACCTCACTTGGGTTAAAAAAGAATCTGAAAGAATAAGGCCCAGTTTATAAAATAATATAACCATTCCCTATGGAGGGACACTATTGCAGCCCAGATACAGGAAGGAGGGCCTGGGCCTTCCCCCAAATGATGCGATGGACTTTTATTGCTCCCTGTGGATGGCCTTACTATCCCTGGGGAGCTGGTAGGGGGTGGTTTGGGGGATCAGTGGGAAGCATGGGAGGATAGGAGGATGAGGGAATGGGGGAATTGATAGGTAAATAAGAGTGCTTCTAAAATAGAAAAGTACTAAAAAAAAGAAATAATAATAATAATAATAATAATAATAATAATAATATAATCCTGACTGTATGGGGAGTTTTAAAGTTTCATAAAGCATCATGAGCTCCCAGCTTCCACTTAGCTGTTTGATAGCAGTGGCTCTGGTCTTCTACCTTGTAATTCTTATTCATACCTTTAGGGAAGGCCACACACCTGGATCTGATAGAAAGGATGTGGAAGGGACTCAGGTCTCACATCTTTCTTTCTTTTTTTTATTATCATTTTTTATTTTAATTTTAAATAGCTTGTTTTACATGCCAATCCCTGTTCCCTCTCCCTCCCCTCCTCCCGCACTCCCCTTCCCCCCCACCCTCCCACCCTATTGCCAAATCCTTCCACATAGGGGATATCTAGAGTCTGTCATTTCACTCTGGGTAGGGGCCAGGCACTCCCCTAAGAGTCCAGGCTGAGAGAGCATCCCTCTTTGTGCTATAGGCACACGAAGACTGTTTGTATTCCAGGGATAGACACTGATCCACAGCTCAGGGCCCCATAGGTTGCCCAGGCCTTTTCGCTGACACTCACATTTGGGGGGGTCCGGGGTCCAAGAGCTCTCCCCTGTTCAGATCAGCTGTCTCTGCTGGTTTTGCCAGCCCATTCTTTGCCAATTTGCTCATCGCTCCTCTCTCTCTGTCACTGGGTTCCTTGGGTTCAGTTCTCTCACATCTTTCTTATGTCTCAAACATGAATATGTGATGTGGAAAATATGCTTCCCTGGATAACTGAAGCCAAAAGCAACTTTGTGAAATTAAAACCTTGTGTAATGAGATAATGTCAAATCTAGAAAACATGTGGATAGTCTTAGAAAACTTACTGATTAAAAAATATAATATGGGAAAAGCAAAAGGAATGGGTTAGCTTATATGAGCCTATATAGTAATTCATAGTTTGGCATGTCTATGTACAAATATTTATGAATAATTTTGTCAAAGTTCTGCTATTTGTTCCTACTATAAATCCTAAGTTTATATAACAAACATATAGATTAAAATTTTTGATAGAAAACATCATAAAGGTTAAAAAGGTATAATTAGCTTGTGTACTAAGATAGCATAAGTCCAGAATTTCAAAAATGTAGCAACTCTCAAAATTTTTATTGACTGATTTAACATTGTTGTTAGAGTTGTTTGTGTTTCTGCTTCTTTTTAAAAACAAAGTTGTAACTTCAAATTTTATTAAGCAATGGGATCTGTGTTGTTGAAACAGAAAGCAAACAGATAGTATAGAAACAGTATGTATGACTTGGTTCTCCAGTAGACTTGCTTAAACATGACACATTTGTAGTAGCCTTTTCTCTGCAACATTTCTTATTAGCATAGGTGCTTTAACATAATTAACGGAAACTAAAATGTAATGGTGGTTTTGACACTTATAAAGTAGTTTGATAAAGTTAATTCCATAAGGTAAAATGGTAAGTATGGGGAGATTTGAAAGTGAATGTATCATACCCAGGACCCACCTCATCTCTCAGAAACATCTAAAGGAGCAGCCAACTGAACTTCGAGACAACAAATATAGGAGACGGAAGGAAGTCATCAAAGGAGGGACCAGAAACTGCTTTTTCAGGAAGATAGCACAGAAAACTGAATTAAGTATCCTGAAAACTATAGAATCTGCTTTGCAGAGCAGACTTGACAATCTCAGCCAAGTCTGTTTCCATGGATGTGGGCGATCACAGCTAGTGGAAGCATCCAGTCTTTACAGGCTTCGGCTGCTTTAGGGAAACCAGCTGGAGACTGCACAATAGCTTTGCTTGGGAGAAACTCCATCCATCTTATCTGTTCCATGCCCAGAGCCCAGGTTAGAGTGTACTATCGAAGCAAGGGAAGTGTTGCTGACTTCACACAGGTAGGTTGTGGAAGGTCAGTCCTTCATATCCTCATCTGTGAGTCCACAGAAATCCCAGGACACTAGCACAGGGGTTGCAGCAGTGACAACACTCAAACCTGTCAAGTACCCCATGATGTAGAAGAAAAGTGTTTAAGCAAAGTGAATAGAGCATGTTACATAAGAGTAAGGGTCAAGGGTGTTCAATATCTTTTTTTCATAGCTCCTAGATCATAGTATTCAACAAATTCTTCCCTACATATGATTTGCAAATTGTGACATCTTCCCATGACACTGAAACCCATTTTAAATTGGTAATTTGTGTAATAATAGAAACCTAGTTTCCCACATGATTTGCATTTCCAAAGAAAAGCTGTTTGCACATAAAGAGGAAGCTGAAGAGCCCAGGAGCAGAGACCCAAATCCCTCTTCACTTAGCCAGTTATAGCTCAGGGGGTAGTTCAAAGCCTCTGAGAGGAGTGACTGCTGATCCCATGACCTCATTCAGATAGCCTGAGTTCAAATCATGTCTTTGGAGATTGTTTTTTAGAGTTGTTTGTGTTTCTGCTTCTTTTTCTGTGTCTGTGGCAGTATGACAAGAATATTAACCTGAGATATGGAAACATATGAGGCAGAACCACGGAGTACTTTCTACAGTATCTGGAATATGGTGATTGCTCATGGCATTGAAAAGCAATCCTTTAGTTGATTTGCTAAGTCATGGATCACTAACTGAAACAGGGTAATCTGCATAGTGTCATAGAGTTGAGCACAAATTATGGAGTTGCATTAAGCTCTAGATACACACAAGGATCTGGGTATAATTGTGCCTTGCTATATTAATTTCCTGTTGATTTGAAAAGTACCCATGGTCAGCAGTTTAAATAAATTAATATTACTTTCTCCCCATGTTTCAGAGGGTTCAGGGATCTGAGGGTTCGATGCCTCCATTGATGTAGTCTCAGGTAAGGCAGAGCCCATCATGGGGACAATGTATAATGGGACAATGTTGCTCATGTCTTCCTTCTCTTTTAATCACCCAATAATCTCTCCCAGTAGTGCCATCAGCAGGGAACAAAGGCTTTAATACACAACATTTGGAATATATTTCAGATTCAAAGCATAACATTAGTACTAGATAACTTTCGGGTACTGAAGTAAATTTCTAAAATAAAGTTTAGAACTTTTAATACACCAACTGTCCTGTGGCTATGGAACCTGTAGGAAAACAGAAAGTCATGGTAGGGAGAAAGCAGTAAAGCAAAGCAGGACTGGAACATGAAAAAAAATAACAACAAAACAACAACAACAACAAAAATGAACACAGCAGAGACACAAAATCTCCTTCATTGAGATATTCCCCTTCAATGATAGCATATCTCTTGGTGTTGTCTTGTTTAGATAACATAATAACCGAGCAAGATATATATATCTTGGAAATGTGTGTGTGGGGGGTGTCTATGTGTTTATTTTTGAAAGCGAGAGACAAGAGACATAAAAAGAGTCAAAGGCAGAGGTAGACTGAGAAAGATGTGTATGTGTGAGTAAGAGAAAGAGAAAGAGAGAGAAGCTGCCACACACAGAGAGAGATTGAGAGAGAGAGAAAAAGAGAGAGACACAGAGAGAGGGAACTTGAAAGAAACAGAAACCATGTATTTGGGAAAAAGAGATGATGTAATTAAATATTAATTTCAGAATATTAAAAACTAAAAAGTCAGGAAGTGCTAAGATCTCAGTAGCACTCGTCTCTTACTGTTAGTCTGATGTGCAGTTAGAGTGTATGAGGAAATTGTAAAAGTTACCCTTCTATGGGGTTAGAAGGACTACTAAACATAGACCTTAAACCAAGGAGTTTTTTTTTTTTTCGTGACTAAAGAAGGAACTGAGGGTGAACAGCCTTTGGGGAATCATGAGGAAAAACCACTCAGAGTGCCAATAATCCTGCTTGCCATAAGTAGAAGGAAAACAAAGCTTCTTGGAGAGGATCAAGAGGACCAGGCATGAGTGGGGACAGGTCATATGTGAGCTGCGTATGCTCTACATATAGAAGTCACAGCCCCAGTACCTCATAATGTGACTGTATTGGCAACAGGGTCTTTGAAGAGGTAAAAGTCAACTGAGGTCATTTGGCTCCAAATTAAGCCAATTTGACTGTTTTGTTGTTGTTATTTTTCAAGAAATGGAGGAGATTCACAAAGATAAGCTGAGGTAAGGTCATGGATGAACACAGAAGGAGAAGGAACAATTTAAAACAGAAGAGATATCATGGAAGAAAATCGCTTATCCCTGGGCTTCCAGCCTGCAGAACTGTGAAGAAATGAATGTCTCTTGGTTTGGCCCCCAGCCTTAGCAATAGAACACAGGAGCCTGCATGAAAAAATAATAGTACAGCCTCAAACCGCAGCACTCAGTGGGAAGACTGAGGTCAGATGGGGAAGGAACTGGAGGACAGAGGACAGAATGAGGAACCTAACTGAGAAGGAATGGTGACTGGGCATTGCCAGGGACTCTTCACCCACAGCCCTGTCACTGCCTGCATGTGAGGCTCAGTGTCTCACTAAGTGAGCAGAGAGCTCATGCTGGGACAAGAGCAGTTCCACCAGCTGCTTTGCAGGTGACTTCTGGGATCTGGTGGGCCTCAGAGTTACAGTGACTTAAGTGGGATTCTGCTGAGAAGAATTTTGTCAGATGAAATAGTAGAAATGACTGTTTCTGAAGCATTATCTGAGAGGATGCTTCTACACACCTGTCACAATTGATGTAATCTCAGAGCAGAGCTGAGGAGTTTGGCTGTTGACCCTCAGAACATGTTTGACCTTCCCACCCGTGACAGTCCTTGTGTTTACCTGGATTCCGTTAGTTGCATTAGCAGGGGTAGACAGAGGCAGAGAGATGGCTGTTCTCCTGGGATATGCTCACCTGTGAGTCCCAACAGTAGGGTCAGCAGCAGAACACTGTGAAGCGCGTGAGGCCAAGTGTCAAGGTCAAACATGTTGAAAGCAGCAGAGCTTGCTCAGCCGAATGTCTGTACTGGTGAGATCCCAGGTTCTGATCTGCAGAGAAAAGAGGTACTGTGCCTTATTCGGAATAAAGGATGTGGCTGTGCTATGATTAAACAGGAACCATACTGACTATTTTGAAATAGAGACCGTAGGGGTGGAGTTATTTATCATGCATCTTTAGAGGGATTCAGAAAAGTCTAGGAAAAGTAAACCCTTATCTTTCTCTGGACTCTATATTGGACCTTCTTAGTCTCAGAACATCTCGTCTTAGTACGTCACCAACTGGAACAAATGGGTTTTTCTAAATGCCTAATTCTAAAAACCCTTCCTGTTGACTTGAGGCCTATTTCTTCCAGTCTCACTTGAGAATTCTCACTTAAGCTATTATGATACTTTGTGAGAGCAGCTCAATGGTAGAGAAAACAATCTGTTTTCTTAGAATGACCTTAAAGAACTAATGTAGAGTAGAAGGGAGAGGCTGTTTTCATTTATGAAGTTCCTCATTGTCACAGTGCATTAATCTGGATAGAATGGAAAATCCTGGTCGTGATGTTTGGAGAGGACACATGTTGTCCTTTCCTTTTTATGTCTTCCAAGTATACAGAGGCAGCAAAGAAGAGAAGACAGAAAAGCATTATGATAAGCATGTCTCCTTAGGGGGTTCTGAAACCTTTCACTCAAGCAGAAAGGAAGAGGAGGCTATAGGATATTGGTTTCTGTAATGATAAAATTAGACTGAGCAAAAAACATTTGGGGGCTAAATCCAAGACTGTGAGTTAATCAGACATGTGCTAAAATGAATGAAAGCCATAAAGTATTTAATAAAAAGTAACATCTCAATGTTTCTTTAAAGGTTGGAAAAATAAGCCAGGGTACCTGTATTTTAGCTCTTTTGAACACAGAATTGTTGAACTGTGATAGACAGTATATATTGAGCCAGCTCCTACTTCCTGCATGCTGGACATGCTAGTGACATGGATGACATGTCAAGGATGAATTGACTCTCACTTGATTTAGCTGTTCACACTGTGCACCAAAGTTGCCAATCACATACTGACCCTGAGCATGATTCTGGTCACACACTGATGACACCTACGATCCTCCTTCCAGTGCTGACCTGGCTCTTGATTTTTGTCTTCTTGATCAAGGCAAGGATGACAGCCTCAGTGCTGATCCAGAATCTGTTTCTCATTGTGGCCACAGTCACACTGAGGACCCTGCTAATGATGCTGACCTAGATGTTCATGCTGCACATCCAAATGACAACTTCAGCCAAAGCATGAACACCATCACCAGGCCCATTCCAGTGCAAGGAAAATGTGATGTCACTGATGACAATAATGACATACATCTGGATCTGTCCTCTTCATTGTTGTTGAGTGATGACATGACTGATATACCAAATTCTACAAGGGAGCTCTCAGAATCTTACTAAAAATCTTCCTTAAAAAAGAATGATGATTAAGTTTAAACAACTGTTTAAAAAAGACTATTTTTTGTCACAAAAACTAGTTGTCTTTGGTGCTAGTACTTACTATTAGTAAATTGCATGCTTCATACAAGGCTATTTAGGCTTTACCTAGTGCGAGAAAAGATGTTTTTCCAATTATAAAGAAAATACATAATATAAAAATAACATTTTCAGGAGGGCTATAGAAATAGCTCAGTGGCTAAGAATACTGGCTGCTTTTTCAGAGGACCAGAGTTTAATTCCCAGCACCCACATTACAGCTCAAAATTATCTATATTTCCAGTTTCAGGGGATCCTGCATCTTCCCACAAAATACATACAGGCAAAATACAAATGCTATCAAAGAAAACCAAAGCAAGCAACATTCAAGAAAAAACCAACAAAATGAACCTCCACTTTTTACACCTTCTCATACACAATGATACTGATGGTACTACACAAGTTGCTACCCATCATGACACTGATGATGCTGTTGACAATCAATCTGATGATGCCATTAATAGTTTTCCTGATGATCCTACTAACAATTATTAGTTTTCTTCCTAGTTACTGAAGTACAGTGATTGACAGACCTGTGAAGTTTTTATTAGGACCTATTGACTACCAAGTTATAATGTATACTAGAAAAAATTACCATTCCCCAGGGAGGGTGAGACCCTCTGTAGGGTATCCCCAGAGTCTACAATTTCATCCAGGGCAGGGCCCAGGCTCTTCCCCCAAGAGATCAGGCTGAGAGAGCACCCCTCACTGTGAGAGGCAAACCAAAGTCCATCTGTATGCCAGGAAAAACACCTATCCACTGCCCAAGATACCCACACTCAGGGGGTCTGGATCAGTCCCATGCTGGCCTCCCAGGCAGCAGTGGGGGTCCAAGAGCTCCCCCTTGTTCAGGTCAGCTGTTCCTTTGGGTTTCCCCAGCATAGTCTTGACCCCTTTGCTCATCACTCCTCCCTTTCTACAACTGGATTCCAGGAGTTCAGCTCAGTGCTTAGCTAAAGGTGTCTGCTTCTGTGTCAGCTACTGGGTGAAGGATCTATGATGGCATTTAAGGTAGTCGTCAATTTCATTATAGGAGAAGGGCATTTAAGGTAGCCTCTCCACTATTGTTCACATTCTTAGTTGGGATCATCCTTGTGGATTCCTGGAGGTTTCCTTAGTGCTAGATATTTTGTTAAGGCCATAATGGCTCCCTATATTAAGGACTCTATTTCCTTGATCTCCTTCTTTGTTCTTCCCCCAACTCAACCTTTCTCATCCTTCAAGTCTCCTCCCCCACACCCATTTTCCACCTTCTCCCTCCTACTTCCTCATCCTCTCTGGGAAATGAGATGAAATAAATCAATGGTCAAGGTTGTTGCATGCCAGTATTAATTAATGGAGAAGATGAAAGGAGGTACTGAAAACTCTAATGCTGATGCTTCTGATAAAGAACCACCAGCTAGCCAGTACCTCTGGAGGAAGAACACACTCAATGAAAATGTAACCAAAACAAGAAGTAAGAAATAATATGACAGGGAATATTCATTCACAAAATCAATGATGTAATATATGATAGAGGAATAAAGAAAAAAAAAAACAAAAAGTGTGCAGAGTTTTCCCAGTCCATAGCACTACAGTATGCTCACCATTAACAAACTCTTCAAGCAATATTTACAGGAGAAAGTCCTTAAGTCCACATGAAAAGTCTGAAAGACACATCTTTTCAAATTAAGAACCAATTCCTGATGAGCCTAAACAGAATATGTATTTCAAAATTGACCAAGTAAAAAGATAATAAATACCATGGAAAAGATACATATGTGCATTCAAACATCTTTTATTCAAGCTTAGAATGACAAAGGAACAAGCTTATTGGTATCACATATGACTGAAGAAACACCTCAGAAGATATAAAGAAAATATTGAAGGAGAAATTGGCTGTAGAGCATGCAAGGTGGAGGGAACTCCTCATGAATGAAATTAAGGCAAACATGCATGGAGCCGGAGAGACCCAACAAGAATATGGGATCCTGCAGTACCTGTAGCTGAGGAATCTCTTCAGAAGGGAACATGAAGAGATGGCTCATGAACAGACTGAATGTTCTAAAGTTATTATTTGCTGTAATGGAGGGTACTGTCGGGTACCTCTAAAGGAACTTCAGTTTTCCTGGAAACATCTCTAGAACAAGAAATAAAGGAAAAGTATGGAGGTAACTGTAATCAAATCATTCATATTCTTAAGAGCCATCATTGGAAACTGATGAGGAAATGATGGACAAACACAGTGATTCCTACTATAGGCCTCTAAAGTAGCTCTTTAAAGAAGATTTAAAAGATGAATTTTGTGAGTGTTTGAAACAATGATACTTATTTGGAGGAAGAATATGTCACATCCCTAAAGAAATACAAGAACTAAAAAAATATCTAAAGAACAACATCTAATGAAGAAAAATAACATTAAGTCCTAACATTCAGAGTAGCCTGTTCCCAAAACAATGAAGGAGGTAGAGCATTAGCATAGTGAATCACAGTACCAGCATCTTAAGGAGGTCATGAAACAGACTTCAAAATGAAAACTTGTGAAGTGCTTAGAAAATGGGAAAATAAAGATTTTTTACCCATCTATGTAAGTATGTTTTACACAGGAAAAATGAGGTTTCTGGTAATTCCTTATTACGCCTTAGAAGATAATATTGAACTATGCAACCAAACTCAACAAAAAGGTATGTGATATATAAGGGGAAATGCTGCCATTGTAATATTAAATTATCTCTTCTACACTAAGAGTGGATTTAAATGTATGTTGTTTTGGCAGATGGTAATATCTAAACCAACATGATTAAGTAAAATGTAAATGTAACATTTTATGTAGATATTCTTTGTTTTCATCCCTCTTTTGTTGTTGTTTTTGTTTTTACATCAGGGTTTCTCTATTCTCTATATACAATCCCCAGCTGTGCTAGATCTCACTATGTAAAACACGCTGGACTGACTCACCCTCCTGATTGCTGGAATTAAAGGTGTATGCTACATTGGCCAGCTGCTTTCCTCATGCTTATCAAATTGGGTCTCCTTTCCAAATTCAAATGTAGGGTGTCTAGTCTTCTTTTCTACTGATAGATCAACATTTACTTTTAAAAATTATAAAAAACATTTTAAATCTTAAATCACAGTACTTTATAACATCTATATAACTAAGTTAATATTAATGATTATAAAAGTGTTATTGTTTAATTAACAATTTCAATTAAACATGTTATAAAGCTTTATATTTAAATCCTGTTAGAAAGGAATGATTTTAATAATACAAATTATTGGACAGAAAATGTGTTATCAGGTGATCTTCTGGCCTGGGGACTGTGGGCAGGTTGACTTGCCCCCAGTAGACCAAGCAATACAGAGTCTGCTGTCATTGCTGTGGTAGTGCCTCCCTCATTCGGGGGGGGGTGAGCATGGACCCTGTATCAGGCCCGACCTCAGCATGCACTTTTTGGGATCTTCTGGCCTGGGGACTATGGGCAGGTTGATTTGCCCAAAGTAGATCAAGCCATTCAGAGTTTGTTGATATCTAGATGCTAGTCCCACTTCCACCCACTGGTAGAGGGAGTGTCTCAGATACTCCTGCACCCACCTTGAGACCTATCAAAT